ACTTCACCATTCCATGTCAAGTAGGTTATATCTATCAGTCGATAATACTGTGTCTGAACGCTTTGAGCTATCAATAAAGGAGATGGTGATTCCCTGAACTTTAGTTGGTAGGATGGCATGGTGGATGATGAACTGTAGTTGGTAGGATGGCATGGTGGATGATGAACTGTAGTGGTAGGATGGCATGGTGGATGATGAACTGTAGTGGTAGATGCATGGTGGATGATGAACTGTAGTTGGTAGGATGGCATGGTGGATGATGAACTGTAGTTGGTAGGATGGCATGGTGGATGATGAACTGTAGTTGGTAGGATGGCATGGTGGATGATGAACTGTAGTTGGTAGGATGGCATGGTGGATGATGAACTGTAGTTGGTAGGATGGCATGGTGGATGATGAACTGTAGTAGGTAGGATGGCATGGTGGATGATGAACTGTAGTTGGTAGGATGGCATGGTGGATGATGAACTGTAGTTGGTAGGATGGCATGGTGGATGATGAACTGTAGTTGGTAGGATGGCATGGGGATGATGAACTGTAGTTGGTAGGATGGCATGGTGGATGATGAACTGTAGTAGGTAGGATGGCATGGTGGATGATGAACTGTAGTTGGTAGGATGGCATGGTGGATGATGAACTGTAGTTGGTAGGATGGCATGGTGGATGATGAACTGTAGTTGGTAGGATGGCATGGTGGATGATGAACTGTAGTTGGTAGGATGGCATGGTGGAGGAATGAGAGCCATATAGAACTAGGTAATGGTTTACAAACAGAACAGAACACAGCCTTCTGTCTGTCACTGACAAGCCTTTCAAACGTATAACAATAATGCACAGCTTCACTCTGGGGCTCCTCAGGATCCTTCACAATTGAAGACTGTAATAAAAGCTTCATTTTCCAAGCATGGAGTTATGGAGCAAGTCTCCACCAATCTACTCAGTCGAAGCCATCTATCCATGGTTCCAGACAGACAAAAGATGTTTGTCTCTCTCCGTGATATACGCTGACTCATCCCACAACCGCCACATTAAAAATCAATCACAAGCTTCTTCTGAAAAAGCTTTGCATTGCAAAATATCACATCAAACACCCGCTGTGTCTGTTGCTATGTTCATTTTCCTCCTCTCCTCTCCTCTCCTCTCCTCTCCTCTCCTCTCCTCTCCTCTCCTCTCCTCTCCTCTCCTCTCCTCTCCTCTCCTCTCCTCTCCTCTCCTCTCCTCTCCTCTCCTCTCCTCTCCTCTCCTCTCCTCTTCCCCCTCTCCGCTCCTCTCCTCTCTTCTCCTCTCCTCTCCTCCCTGCCACCAATATTAAGGGCCTTCTACAGTATCCTCCCTATGAACGGTGGTTAACGGTGTGAAAAGTCAAGGTCTACATCAGTGCCTAAATGCCTGACCTGTCTTGATTAAGTCCACTCTCTGCTCTCCTCAGATTAAATGTCACGCTGTGTTTGGCTGTGTGAGCGGGATCAGAGGATTGGGGGGGGAAATGTGCTCTGATCATCAGGATGCAGAAAGGACACTAAAGCAACGCTAGTGGAATCAGAGACCAACTGCAGTTACACTACACTACAAGCCACTCATGGCATGCATATGGAAATACTCTTGGGTCAGTTTCCATTATGAAGGACGTCCTCTGTAGCTCAGTTGGTAGTGCTTGCAATGTCAGGATAGTGGGTTCGATTCCTGGGACCACCCCATGCATAAAAATTTATGCGCACATGACTGGAAGTCTCTTTGAATAAAAGTGTGTGCTAAATGGCTATTCTATTATATCAACCACCAGGACATACTGTAGAGTTGACAAGTTGTCCAAAAGCATTTTTTTTCCTTCAGCAACATAGCAAAACTCCCCAACTGAAGTTTGAATGCGATCCCTCGGCAATCTGTATGCAGATCGTAACACTGACGATGTGCTGTATGAGCCATTTTCCATCAGACTAACTAGACCAACCAGGGCACGTGTGCATCCGTTCGTGCATGTCAATGCGTCCGTGCGTGCGTTCGTGTGTGCATGCCTATGTGTACGAGTGCAGATGCCTGTCTGTCTGTGTGTGTATCCCCTACCAGCGTGTACATGAATGTTGTTCAGGTGTATAGCAAACATGATTTATCATTCATTCAAAAAAACATTCTGAAAATATAAAGTTTTGGCTGATAGCAACTTACCTGGACGTTCTGCAGGGGAAACTGACCGATGCCAGGGTTAGCTGCTGTGTGTGTCCGTATCCTCCCCAGAGGCAGGAATGGATCACTGGACAGCTGCCAGCTGGAGACGGCTCGGAGCAGCGGAGGAGGGTGGTGAGGGGAGAGCAGGAAGGGATGGTGAGGGCGTGGCATGGCAGCAGGGGCAGTAGTGGCACCCAGTCGGCAGAACCCCGAGGCAGCAGCAGGGCCAGGGCCAGGGCCAGGGCCAGGCAGCATCCACAGCCATGGAGAGGGATCTCTCTCTATCTGCCACAGCTGCGGCTGAGCCTTTAGTCTTCCCACAGGGATCATCTCTACATTCTAGACCACCACACTAAACCTGGGAGGCTGGGAGGGAGCCTAGACTTCAGAGAGGACATAGTTTCATTATCATCAAACAGGTTGATGAAGGATAAAGGATGGGAGACCTGGTGAGAGGCACCTGCCCATACATCACATACAGATAGGCAGCGTAGGCAGGCAGGCAGACACACACACACACACACACACACCACTCACTGGAAATACACTACACCACATGTAATGACAACACTTGTAGGTATTGATGTTGTGAGGTGATTTTGAAAGGTACAAGGCAGTTTCACTCATAAACGTACATTAGTTTAGAGGAGCTGATGAAAACAAGACTATAAAGACACATCATAATAAATGACTTAAAAAGCCACGATACAGGCATCTGCACACATTCATCCAATGCATGGTCGGTAGGGTGATGGGGAGAGGGTTAAAATAACAGTGCAGCGACAGTTATCAGGTGTTCTAGAATACCGTAAATGGGGTTCTATCGGGTTTTATGGAGAGCGCATTCCAGAGGTTGTTATTGAGCTGAGAATGTGAAAAGTATGAAATCCAACGGTGCACTATTCTAGAACATTGATACACATACACGTTTTGGACAGTGATAGACGATTAATAAAGTCCCTCATTTGCGTCTTTGCGCTCTGAATTAGACCTACGCTTAATACACAGGTTTTCAAACCTCTTCTCTAGGACCCCCATACGAACTAGCTCACCTGATTCACCTATTCAAGGGCTTGATGATTAATTGACAAGTTAAATCAGGTATGCTAGCTGTGGAATAGTTCAAATACATGGAACGGCTGGTGTTCACCGAGGAGACCTTCGAAAAACCCTGCTGTACTAGACTTACCGTTTTTTCAATAAGGAAGGATATGCTTGATTGATTCACAAATCTCTGCTCATTAACATATTCTACTGTAGGGAAGGCTACCAAGACAGCGGAGACCAGCTGGCAGGTTTATCAAATTAGCCTACAACTTGTAGATACATGTTGGTAAAGTCCTTGAAGATTATGTCACCCCCCCAAAAAAAATATATATATATATCTGTGTGAAATATAAATACATAAGAACACACGGGTTTGGTTGTCTCCCTTGTTCCGCACCAGATGCACCCTGTCAATGAGAGGTAGCCTATCACTCGAAATTAAATAAGAATAACAATGCGTTTAATCTGACATTCAAATATGAGAATGAATGACGCAATTTAAGTTTGGATGGAAAGTTAATTCAGATCAGTCTTCACATTGGATCAGATATCATCCACCTCACCTATAATGCGTTGTAGGCTATCGATCCCTTCAGTTGTCCAGTATTAACATCGCTCGTCCAGAAATTTATGGATGAATTTTCCGTTGGTAATTTCGATACAACAATATAAATCTGCAATCCAAAAATGACTACGCTGTTTATACTATCCAAATATCCAAAACATGCAGCCTTGTCGTCAGGTAGGCTACAGTATAGAAAGCCTACAACGGAGGAACTGAATAACACTCGTTCGTTTATGAAGCGCAGGACATCTTCGAACTGTGACAGTTGGTCGGTGAGGTGATGGTTTGTCAGGAAAGAGAGAGGAGCTCGAGCCCAATGGAGATCTTGTATTTGCTGTCAGGGCTAATCTCTTCTCACCCTGATACGGTTTCAGCCTCTTCCCAATTGAACGCCACCCCCTAACGCGACACCCGCACGGCTCAGAGGCACGACTTACTCCGCTCACTTCCCCCCAATCAAGTCATAGGGGATAGGTTGTACTAGCCACAGTTTTTCCTCTTTCAGAAAACTTCCTTCAGTGCAAAAAACGTGAAAACACTACTAAGCGACTGGAAGACGTCTCAAAGGAGAACAGAGTAGCCTACTGCGCACCTCTCTCGCTCTCTCTCTCTCTGTCTCTGCATCATCCGGTACCTCAATGGAGTCTGGACCGCTCCTGTCTAAACAGCAGCAACCCAGTGTGCTACTGTAACCCAGTGTCCTGCCCACATCTCCTCTCTCGGCACCAGGGGTTTTGGGTACTGTATGCCAAGTCGCATGGAACACAATCTAATCACATGAATTACGCGCAATCTCACCAGCATTCAGAATATATTACTGTAGCGCGTGGCGAATTGATCCGCCTGGGGGTTATTTACAGCATTCACCTGTCAACCTAAACTTTGACTCAGTGTTACATGCTGCTTTTTATCAGTCACAAATATGTCGCCTGAAGGCAACATACTGTGGAAGCCGAAAGCATTATATTCGGAACAAATTATATGGAGGGGTATACATGTTTGAAGGGTGACCCCCCCTTATCTCTTTCATTTGCAGCAAAGTTATCAAGACACCAATGAGAATGTAATCATTTAATACCGCTAGAGAGAACATTGTAACATTTACAGTCATATGTTTGTTCGGTCTTACCGTTCCATTGACCATTAAAGTACAATGAGCACAACCCATTTCAGCAGCATTTCGCTGTCCACTAATGCGGCTGCAGTCTCTACAGCAGCGGGGCTCGAAGTTGCCATTTCAGCACCACGCCGGTGTCCACATGTGTTTCCCAGTCTCTATACTATGGGGAACAAACTATTTCAGCACTATGGAGCTGTCTGCCAATGCATAGAGTCTACACACGTAAATAACATTATCCCACAGGCTGAATGCAAACGATGCAGTGGTATATTGACACATTTATAAAGTAAGACGATTATTGAGTCCCCTGTAGCTCAGTAGGTAGAGCATAGCGCTTGCAAAGCCAGGGCTGTGGGTTCGTTTCCCACGGGGGGCCAGTATGAAAATGTATGCACTCACTAACTGTAAGTCGCTCTGGATAAGAGCGTCTGCTAAATTACTAAAATGTAATTATTAATCTAGGACAGGAGGCATATTCAATTAGCAGATAAAGGCCTTTGGATCGGATAGCATACTATCCTGCTTCATTAATGTAAGCAGGAATTTACAGTAACTGTAGCACGCTGCATTCAAAGTAGCATCTTGGATAACTTTGACCTTGCATTCTGCTTGAGTAGACTGAATAATTGATCGTCATCTCACAAAACAGGGTGTTACAAAAGCGCTGCTTTTCAAATTGAGATGCAATTATTTCCAATCTGAATCTGCATGTTTCTCCTCTGTTTTCATGCAATGTTGAAGCTTGGCATTCATGGGCGATGTGCCTCAATGGTGCCAATCGAGAGTGATCATACATCCATTGTATTTTAATTGGACATTTCATGTTTCTGTCCTTGCTTTGTCAACTTGGTTTGAAAAAGTATGGCTTCTGTTTGGTTTAGGAATAGTTGATGAGTATCAGGAAAACTGCAGATTCTGCCTCATCGACATTATTTTCTCAATCAATGCTTAGATAGAGTATGAATCATTGTATACTACCGCATCATACATAACAGTAACTAGAAACTTTACCGTATCTGTTTACAGTTCATATTGACCCTCCATCATCCATTGGTCCTCTGTAGCTCAGTTGGTTGAGCATAGCGCTATCAACCCCAGAGATAGTAGGTTCGAGTTCCGCGACCACACGTACGAAAAATGTATGCATGCATGACCATAAGTTGGATAATAGTGTCTGCTAAATGGCATATATGATATGTTACAGATGAACAGCGTTAAGGTCAATGTAAACAACAACCTCCTACTGTAGAGTAACAGCTAATGTTTTTTTCTATGAGCAGAAGAAAAATGTATGAACTCACTTAACTGTAAGTCGCTCTGGATAAGAGCGTCTGCTAAATGACTAAAATGTAAAATGTCAATGTAAGAGCGGTAACGATTGCTGTCTCCCTGCGGCATAGGAGATTTCATCCATCGTAATGGGGGAGAGGAGCAACACATGTGCACTGGGCTCTCTAGACAATCTGAACCTATTGTCCGGGCTAAACACCGTTCCTTCATGAGAACACAGGGTTAAAGCTACACTGTAATGTAAGGCTGTGTGCCTGCCAAATGGCATTCTATTCCCTACATAGTGCACTACTTTTGACCAGAGCTGGTCAAAAGTAGTGCACTATGTAGGGAATAGAGTGCAATTTGGGACACCTTACAGTACAGTATATATTTAACCCTGTGTTCACTATATTATAGACTTGATGGTATTCTACTACTACTCAGCTGTTCATCAAGACCTCGGCTGTTCATCAAGACCTCTGTCGTTCATCAAGACCTCGGCCGTTCATCAAGACCTCGGCCGTTCATCAAGACCTCGGCTGTTCATCAAGACCTTGGCTGTTCATCAAGACCTCGGCCGTTCATCAAGACCTCAGCTGTTCATCAAGACCTTGGCTGTTCATCAAGACCTCAGCTGTTCATCAAGACCTTGGCTGTTCATCAAGACCTCGGCTGTTCATCAAGACCTTGGCTGTTCATCAAGACCTCGGCTGTTCATCAATACCATTAAAGTAGAATCAGATGTGGTAGAACTGGGCTTGAACAAAAAGCATGCAGAAACGTGTATTTTGTCAAGAGCAATTGTCGCCATCCCTGAATTGTATTTACAAAGCTGAGTATACATTTTCATGTAAAGATACATTTTCATGTAAATAGTTAATGTGTAAATGTAGATTTTTTTGTGCATTTTCCAGCAGCTTGCTCGACTGTCTTAAGAGAGTCCAGTGAAACAAATTCTGGTTTACTTCATATTGGCTTCAATGGGTTTCTGTTTTTTTGCTTCCCCTCCGGAAAATCAGCTGTTAATATTCAATAAATACTAATAACTACATCATTTATGTTTCCATTTGTTATTATTGCTGACTTTTCCTGAGTTTTTAATCCTGTGTTATGCTGCATTATAATGTTGTATAATAACGTTGCATAATCATCTTCCGGTGTAAAAACCACGGAAATTAAAAACAAAAATGAAGTTTTAAGTGAGAATGGGCATTGGTCTGAAGCCGAAAAATAAAGGAAATGCACTTGAGCACCACAATGCACTACAAAAGATTTCCAGCACACAGCTTTGACCTACTACAGTAGCTATGCCGGTATTGTACTTCA